CCTAAGTCAGCAGGGAAATGCAAATTAAAACCAAAATGGATACCACCACACACTCAACAAAAGAACAAATAAAAAGGACTGAAAAAATACCAAACCAAAGGATGTGGAACAACTGGAATTCTCATTAGCTGGTAGAGGGTAACTGTTACAAATACTACTACGGGAGGGCCTCCCATGGTGGTGCAGCGGTTGAGCACTGGGTTGCGAAGCTGCCCGCAGCCTCTGCAGTGCCGGTTCGATCCCCAGCTGCTCCCCGGCCACCAGAGGAGGGTCCCACATGGCGCGCAGATCTCTCCTGCCTCCCGCTGCTCCCCTCAACAATGTACTTCGGTCCTTCTGCCTGATCTGCTCCCTGCTCTGGCTCTGGTGAATTCTCTCACCCTCCCGCGCTTCTGACTGTACCCAGTGCTTGTATAAATAAATAAATAAATCTTAAAAAAAAAAAAAAATACTACGGGAAATTATTTGGCACTAAATACCTGCGATGCCCAAGAGGAATGCATAACTGAACTACTCATAACAGCCTCAAACTGGAAACTAAAAATGACCGTCAGCAATAGAATGGAATATTTAATGGAATATTCACACAAAAGAACTCCATACAGCGATGAAAGTGAACCAGTACATCCACATGTCCAATGTGGATGAACATCAAATGTATAATGTTGAGTGAAAGAAGCAGACAAAGAGTACCACAGGTATACTTCTACTCTAATAAAGTATACAAGTGGGTAATATGAATTGTTGTTATTACAAGTCAAGGCAGTGGTTATACTTGTAGGAACAGGGGATTTCTGCAGAGCTAATGATACATTATTTACCTGCAGGCTGGTTACTGATGTTTGTTCAGTAAAGAGTCCCACCCAAATTTTCAAGCCTGGTTCTATATCCTAAAACATCATAAATATCCCTCTTTCATTCTGTGTCTGTGTAGTATATTATTTAGAGTCCCTCTATACCTTTTACCTGTTGGTACTTGCTTTTGAAATCCTAGTTCCTTGTGTGTCTGTTGACCTTTGAGTTTGTGTTGGGATGTTTTGCTTGACAATGATTAAGAGAAATAATTTTAAGTCTAAATTGATGTTATTTTTGTCCAACTATGATTTTTTTAAAATTTCTATTACTTGGTGATAAGAGTCACTAACTATCTGGGCTCTGCTAATTCAAGTTAATTGCTGAGATTTTCCAGTCCTTTGATGACTCAGAGCCAGTCGTCACACTGTGTGTGAAGTCTTCCTTATTTCTGGCTTTCTATAACTCCTAGGGCATCTTTTAGGATCGCTTCTCCGCATATGGATTTGGTTTACTCCTTGTAAACAAGACTCATTTCCCAAGGCCCTTGCTTATATATTAGTATTGGAGCAATTATCCAGGTTCATTGCACAAACTGTCTTGGGATTACCTCCCAAGGCCTATCAGAAACTGATAAATATGCCTTTTGTGCTCTCAGTTCAGCTCCTTCCTTTATGAGTTTGGGACCAGCCATCAGTTCTCAGATTCCCCCATCTTCATCAGGGCATAAACAGTCTTCCATTTGTCTCTTCTTTGGCAGGGACCGATTGTCCAAGCACTAATTACTGTGCTTCCTACTTTAGCAAAGGAAAAATCAATGAGTCCTATTCAGAAGAAATGTCTTGAGGTGCTTAATATCCTGACTGAATTATCATCCTCTATGATGGGAGTAGAGGCAGCAGAATCAGGGAACACCAGCACAGAGAAGTGGGTAAGGTCTGGACATTTCTGGTTCACCCTCTTTTTTCCCCCCTCTCTTTACTTCTTTCTTCTCCATTTATTCTATCTCACAAAAATACTGACAGACTTTGAAAATATTCCTAAAATCTAATTCCTAAACATTTAAATATTATATAAAACCCGTCCAACCTTTCAGCATTCTATAGTTTTTCAAAGTGCTAAGACAGGCCCTACTGGATATGATTCTCAAACTTCCAAGAAAGTCTTCTGAATGAGATGAGGAAGCTCAGGGAGATTGCATGTCATGCAGCTAGGAAGCAACACAGAAAGTATCAGAGGTCAGTTTTCCCACACAGGGCTTGGAAGTCTTTTCCATTCTGCTCCACATTCCCTCCCTTCTCTCCCTGGCCACACAGCAGAGGAGTCTGTGTCTCTAAGGCCATACAAGCACTGAGTCTTACAGACTCAGAGCACCGTTTCCCAGCATGCACAATCAAAGTCACTATGTGCTCTGGAAAACTATGAATCTCAAAACAGAACCAATATTTTAAGCAAGGGGGCCAGATAATCAGCTTTTGTCTTAAAGCATCACAGAGGATTCTGATGCACACTAATGTGTGAAAAACAGCGATCTAAAGTAGCTAAAGGAGAAACACCAATTCCTCTGGATGTTCTCTGACTTTTCCCAGCCCTTGTATCGTATCTTTCCCTCCCTTCTGTCAGTGAGATGCACCAGAGGGCAACACGCTGTGGAAAAGTTTCTGACATGGTCTAAGAGGGTAGAAGTCCTCTGTTCCCATGGCAGAAACAGGTGGTGCCCAGGTGCCCTTAGGGGTGGGGTCACTGCAAGGAGTCATCATGGTGTTCTCTTTTATTCTGGATAAATCTGGAGTAGTCTCTGGATAAACCCATCAGTTCCCCTTTCTAAATGAAACTCTTTGCTTTCCAGGTTTTCTGTCCTCCCTGTGCAAGGCTAACACAGAGCAAACACCTAGCTTAGAACTCCTGGTCAAAGGCTCATTTCTGCCACCAAATCATTCTGTGACCCGGGGCAGATCACTTCAGGTAAAACCATCCTTTAAGTACTGAGAGAAATAAATGCCTTTATGATGGAGAATGATATAATTATATGAAAACACAGATATGGGAAACTACATACAAACTCTCCAGAGCCTATCCTAAGTAATTTCCATTTTCAATCAAATGTCAGAGGACTACCACACAATCACTCTATAATTTTTAAAGGAAAATTGCCAATCACCTACTTCAATTAGAAGTTTGAGTTGGCTCTGAAATGACCACTCAGCCCACTGTAACATGAAGCCTGTTTAAGTGTCTTCTCTAATGGGGAATTCACTGTCCCCCCCACCCCTGCCCCAGTCACTCCTGGCCCCTATTCCTCTTCAGTGTCTTAAATCCTCTTCAGCACTTAAGTCTTCTGGGAGATAATCTGGCTCATTTTTCTGTCTCTTTTATTTTATATCTCCTGGCCTGACCAATTCACATTTATTTGTATAGGAATCCTATAATAATAAATCCCCTCACTCTTATGTCCCCAATGTAGACAGCACCAAGGCACTGGCTGCAAATGAGTCTTCCCTTGGAATCCCTGGTCATTCCCTGCAGTCACAGGTGGATGGAGGCTCATGACTGAGTGGGAAGTAAAGTCAAGTCCAGGATGAAGGGAAGGCAAGGAAGGATCCCTGAACCCCCTTTGTCCTGAAAGTGGGGTTTCCTATTGGAGGAGGTCTGACTTCCTATGGGCAGAAGGTTGGAAAAATTGTTAATAATAGGACTCCTTTCTAATCCCCATATCAGTACCTTCTATTTACATATGGATTGAAGATTGGAAAAATATTTCCACATCCAACATTTCAGCTCTTGTCCAAATTGCTGGTGAGGTCAGCATTATTACTCTTGCCTCATGTGTAGTAGAGTGGATAAGGCATGGAATTTGGCAGTAGAAAAAGTAGAGTAAAATCCTGATTCCAAGAGTTACTGGTTGAGCAAACTTCAGAAACTCATTAACCCTACAAGTCTCCATTGCCTCATCTCAATTGCCACAAAAAAAAACCAGCACTGTTGTGTAGAATAAATATAAGATCTGTTGACACAAATTTTTTCTTCCCTTATGAATTGTTATCATAATTCATTAAATTCCACATGCATTTGGTTCGGTTTCTGAAGTTTCTGTGCAATTCCATTGACCTGTTCACTCTAGCACTGGTACCACACTGCCTGAGAGTCCTGTATTTGGCAAATTGTCTCCTCCTTAGTCTTCTCCTTTTCATTATTTTCCTACTTTATTTTCAAGCTTATTTTTAGATGAAAATTATATGAGCACTTCTTTCTTTAAAAACCTGTTCAAATTTTGCCTTTGAATAAGTAAATTTTAGATTAACTCATAAAATTTCATCTTTCTATGTGGAATCTTGATATGTCTATTCATTTATTAAATTTTTACCTTATGTCTCTCTGAGTATTTGAAGATTCTGCCTGATTCTTGTTAATGTATTAATGCATAAATGTGTTTGTTGGTAATATGTATAGCACTCTGTCACATTAAAGTTTAAACTTATTATTCCTTATTATTTACATAATAGGCGATATTTATTCAGAGCTCATGCAAGCTCTTTGTGTTAGCATTTTATGAATTGTATCCACATTTTTTGAGTGAAGGAATGGAGAATTAAAAAGCTCAGGTAACTGCCCAAGGTTTCACAGACAGTACATGGCAGCCCTCAGAATTAATTTCAGCATTCTGGCAACACAGTCTTAATCATTGTACTATAGGACTGACCATCAGTTTGGGGTGTATGCATTGTATGATTGGCCACTTTAATGAAATTTCCTTTATTTCTAGTAACACTTCACTTTATTATCTTGGGCTTCCAAATCAGACCGTTCTATCAGCAAATAATGATATTTTTTCCTTTTCCCTTTCTTTTCCTTTGTCCAATTACACAAGATTCATTGCCCAGAATGCATATACCTGTTTTAAATATCATTTAAATATCTATACAATAACAAAATATAACTTACCACTATTTAAGCTCTCCAAGATTATAATAATATAATATTTAAAATAAGACTTAGACATTTCTGTAATACTGAGTATGCCAGATTAGAAGTTGCTGGAAAGATTAAGTTGCCTAAAGATTTTCCACATGGTGCTTTTTCCTCCATTAGTTTATTATTTATGCAAAATATTATAAATTTAGCCTAAGATATTTTTAATGCCAAGAAAATAGTTGAGCTGCTAATCTGAATGTCCTTACCCAACTGAATATGCTTAGTCATGTTTGTTGGTAATAATGTTGCAGACAATTGGGGAAATGTATGGACACAACCGAAGTGGCACCTCAGAGTTCCTACTCCTCGGGATCTCAGAGAATCCTGAAGAGCAGCAGGTTCTATTTTGGATGTTCCTGTCCATGTACCTGGTCACAGTGGTGGGAAACGTGCTCATCATCCTGGCCATCAGCTCTGACCCCCGCCTACACACTCCAATGTACTTCTTCTTGGCCAACCTCTCCTTCACCGACCTCTGCTTTGTCACCAACACAATCCCCAAAGCATTGGTGAATCTTCAGTCCCAGAACAAAGCAATCTCCTATGCAGGGTGTCTGACACAGCTCTACTTCCTAGTCTGCTTGGTGACCCTGGACAACTTCATCCTGGCTGTGATGGCATATGACCGCTATGTGGCCATCTGCCAACCCCTGCACTATGTCACAGTCATGAGCCCTGAGCGCTGTATGCTGCTCCTTTCCTTGTGCTGGGTACTTTCTGCTCTCTATGGCCTCACCCTCACTCTCCTCATGATCACAGTGACCTTTTGTGGATCCCCAAAGATCCACTACATCTTCTGTGAGATGTATGTTCTGCTGAGGCTCGCATGTTCTAACACTCAGGTCATTCACACAGTGCTAATTACCACAGGCTGCTTCATCTTCTTCACTCCCTTAGGGATCATGATCATGTCCTATGTCTGGATTGTGAGAACCATTCTCCGAATACCTTCAAATTCTAACAAATATAAAGCTTTTTCCACCTGTGCCTCCCATTTGGCTGTGGTCTCCCTCTTCTACGGGACACTTGCTATGGTATATCTGCAGCCCCTCCAAACCTACTCCATGAAGGACTCCATAGCTACAGTGATGTATGCTGTGGTGACCCCCATGATGAACCCCTTCATCTACAGCCTGAGGAACAAGGACATGCATAGGGCTCTGGGAAGACTCCTCCTAGGGAAAGTCTTTCAGAAGTTAACATGAGGTAATTTGGGAGACGTTTCTGATGCAGAGCCAGAATTAAGTATTACTATTTCAAAAGTTGTCCTGTGGTTTGAAAGAATTAATCTCATAGAACATGATGAGCACTTTACTCTTGGAGAGGATTTCACTCACCTTGGGATTATGCCCACTATTATCTACCATTTCTAAGACACTATTTATTTGGAAAGAGCATTAAGAGACTAGTGGGTAATGGGGGACCATAAGACACAAGAAACAAAAATGTTACATGCATGCTTAGTAGATAAGGGGAAAGTTCTGACCTTTTAAAACAAAATTAATATCAAAAGAAACTGTAAACAAATATTCCTTTAACGTTCATATCATCTGAAAGATCTTTTCCCAGCACAAAAGTACAGCAATTCCTCCTTTCCACAAAGACTAGGAAGCAGACACAATCTGCAGTCACAAAAAAGACAGGTTATGTTGACAGCAAATAAGTATATAAAACAGCCCTGAAATAACTTTATCATTTATCATTCAATTAGAAATTAGCTATAAAAATGCATTTCTGGGGCCTCCCCTGGTGGTGCAGCAATTGAGCACTGGGCTGCAAAGCTGCCCACAGCCTCTACTGCACCGGTTCAATCCCTGGCCACCGGCAAGGGTCCCACATGGCGCACAGACCTCTCCTGCCGCTCCAGCTGCTCCCCTCAGCAATGTATTTTGTCGGTCTGCCTGTTCTGTTCCCCGCTCTGGCTCTGGTGAATTCTCTCACCCTCCCATGCTTCTGACTGTACCCAGTGCTTGTATAAATAAATAAATAAATAAATAAATCTTTTTTAAAAAATACATTTCTGAAAAAATATTCTTAAAAAACTTTTGTGCATATTCACACACATCTTAAAGCTGATGCTACATACTCACTGGTGATAAGTCAGAAGTTGTTTCTAGTTTGCTGATGGCTTTTACTTTGCTTAGTTTAGCCTTCTCATCTCCCTCAAGTGGCTGAAAGAAGACATATCCACAATGAGACCTTAAGACATATGTCAGTTTGGGGGATGGGTAAGAATAGGGGACACAGAGGGAGAGTCTCCAATCTTAAACCAGAGTCAGGTCTTGTAAAAATGCTGACAAACAACTCAGGGCTCATTTGTGCTATATTCTTAGCTTCTTGGAAAAGGGAGACAGAAAACAGTCATCATATTTCCCTTTTGCTTTGAAAGGGCTATAAGATTTTCATGGGTCAGGGGTATTTACAAACTCCAGTTTATCCATAGTTAGCTTCTGTGACTCTCAATGAGAATTCACCTTTGGACTTTCAAAATTTTGGATCCTATTCCCAAGTTGTCTGTTTTGTTTAACTTCAAGATCTGGTAAAAAATTTTACTGAATAAGCATTTTTGAGAATTTATGTCTGTGGATAAAACTGTAGTAGTTACTGTGGAAGCTACCAAGAATTCCTTAATTAGCTTACAGGATTGTTATAATTGAATGGCCTTGTGTCATGGAGTCAGGACAAGAACAGTAGCCTTCCTACAGTGACTCCTAGGCTTTGAACAGCTGATGTGGTTTTGTGGGAACTCCTAGACGGACCTTTTTGTCAGACTCCAAGTTGAAATGTCACTTAACTTCCCAAACGTTTTTCTCTCTGCAATAATACCCTGTTAGACCTAGATCAGAACTCGGAAGGTCCTGTGAAAACACCCATATTGCAGGAAGCCTCATTGGTTGGTAAAATTAGTCTGCATGGTTATTATTTTTTAAGTAAGATTAATTCCAGTATGGTTCACCTCAATCATCTTTAAGTTTCTTCACATTTTTGTTGACATCTTACATGCAGAATCACATATATTTGATTTCAATAACTGGGAAACATTAATGCTAATACCTGCCTTCAATGAGTTTCACTTAAGCATCTTGACCACTTCCATTCACATGGAAAATCGCCAGCATTGTGTGTTGTGGATTTTTTCTCTGGAACGACATGCAAATAGAATAAAATGTATGATTTTCTCTGAGTCTTTCGAAATTCTATTTTTTCTTTATCTCAAGGTTAGCATCACCGATCCATTTTCAGGGTCTCCTGACTGCAGACCCTAATGGCCCTGCCAGTCTTACTCCTGCCTCCTGGTAGCTCCCCATGGAAATAGGAGCCGAGGACACCATACCCTGACGCTCCCTCCAGGCTCACCTGAGAGCTGTGTCTTTCCTCTTAGAGGGAGAGTTCTCTTTTCCTGGGTCACTGGCTAAGCCTCCTTTTTCCCTGGGCTCTGTGCACAGGTGTCTGGGCCTTGGGAGGGAAGGGGCCCGACCTCTGGTGAGATCCCGATGGCAGGTGGTGTGGACTGTAGGGATGAAGATGAGTATCAGGGCTGGTCCAGGGGCCAGTGGTATGGACGGCAGGGGTAAGGAAGGTCGTGGAGGTGTTTTTCAGGAGTCAGGTAAACTTTCTGGAAAACCATCAGACACAGTCAAAACTTATCCAGGTACTAGCCTCCTGGGGTCTCTCGGAGCTTCTGGGGGCCAAATTCGGCGTCAGAAACTGCGTCTTCGACTTAAGACTTGCCCCGCACTTCTTGGGGCGTCTGGCTTCAGCAAGCAGGGATCGGGCTCCCACCGCCCCAGGTGCAGGCAGCGCGGCCCGCAGTCCACCTGGCCACCAATCTCCCGTCGCTGCGCTGCTCCCGCGGTCGTCGCGCAGCAGCGATTGGCCGGGATAGTAGGCGGAGCCTGGAGCTTGGCACCGCGATTGGCTGAGGCGCCGTCAGTCAGGGCTGGGTCCGCCCCACCGTCGGGAGCGGTTCCCTCGGCCACCGCGCCTCTTTTCGCCCCCAGCCGCAGAAACTGCGCGCGCTCGGCTGAGCCCGCGCGGCCTTGGGCTGCTCCTGCTCCCGCTGAGGTGCCGCGGGATCCCGTGTGCCGGGTCAGCGGGGGCTTGGCGCCCCCAGTTCGGGCAACTGGACTCACAGCCGGCGTGTGGGTGGAGACGGGGACGCGGCGACGAGGGTGAGCGTCGCGGGGAGAGCGACTCTTGTCCGCGCGGTTCCGCCGCCACGCGCGGGAAGGACGCGTCCTGGCGCGGGTCCGTCGGTCTCGGGGCGGCTGCTGGGGGCTGGGGGCTGGACTTCGGTCGGTGCGCCCACTGCCCAGCTCCGTGCAGAGCGTGGTGGCGGCCGCGCCGGCGCCCTCGGCTTGTCGCGGCGCTCACCAGGCGCCGGGACTTCTCCTGGCCTCTGTGGCGGGTGGGGGCAGACGGCGGCACCGAGGTGGCCTGCACACGTGCCTGGCAGCTGGCCGGCTGGAGCCGGCGCTGCGAGATCACTTGGGACCCTCTCAGATCCCGAACCCCGGGTCGGTTCTTTGATCCGCGGCCTGAGGCGCAGCAGTCGCATTGGGGGTGGGTCTCGCGGTCAGAGAACTAACCCGACCCTCGGGTTCCGTAGAAGGGGCGCCAGTGCTTCGCGATGATTGAAAGGAATCCACAACAGGATATGAAACTTCGTCAAGTGACTCCTCTCTGTTAGCACTCGGACCTGGTACCTCTGGAGGGACTGGACTCCGCCTCCACCCACAGCCTGCATAGGAGGACGTGGAGAGACCAAAAGGACTTCCCGGTTCCCCAAGGGGTGGACGGTCCAGGAGGAGAAGGTGAATCTGATGCCAGGGATCCCCACAACATATTTTGAGAAACACTGGAATGATGTTCGTGATATCAAAGAACAAGCATAGTCTGTGTGTTGATTTAACAAATATTTTATTTAATTTTGGTAAAATCTCCAGGTAGTATTTCCTGACCTTGTGAAATATATAGGTAATGCTCTAACTCGGTGTCTTTCACAGTGGCACTTTTGTCCTGTGTTCAGAAGCGTTTTTTGGAATCCTCGGCTGCCCCTAACCCAGGTTAGCCCCAGTTCTAAGGAAGTCTGTCTGGGGAAGCAAGCTGATGTTAAGACTCTCCCCCGGCCTAGTTCCTCCTCTCCCTACTCCCAGTGCAATGGGTTGAACCTAGCGTGCTCTGGGGTCCCTTTGCCAATGCTCTCACATTGTTGAGAATTTCCCCCTGGAGAGTAGAAGCAGCTGTTTTTACTCTTTCTCCCAGTCCATGGAAGCCACCTTTGACTCAAATCTTTCCAGCCATGGGGAGTAGAATTTCAGCAGGACTAGTACAGACAAGTGAAGTTAAGAGTCTTTAGGGGGAGCAGTAGCTGATCTGCCTCTTTGGCAAGCGTCCCAGCCACACACCCAAAAACCCAAGAAGTCTTATTTTCTGAGAGTTATCTTAGAAATATTTTGAACTGTCCAATTAACTGGATATATAGATTTTTTTCAGCATGGGAGGGAGATGGGGTGAGGATTTATTTTTCTTAATTATTCCCAGATAATTATTTTTTATTTATAGTTTAAATATTGACATTCGTATTGGGTTCTGTTTCAGTTTGGCTTAAATCCCAGTTTAAGACTCCTAGATAAGACTTTAAAGGAAAAGAATCTACATTTTTCTGCCATCCAAATTCCCAAAAAGGAATGTCTATATGCTGGCAAAATAGAGTTGTTATGTTTCATTTTCCCAACTTTTTCTGCATGATTAAATGGACTAAGAAAAATTTTAAAGGCTAAGGTAAAATCACAGCCCCAGATTATAGAATGAGACCTATATCTACCTATTTAAAAAAAAAAATTAGTACAGTGCTACTAATTTCTTGGAACTAGGACATGGATTTCTGTGAGCTTTAAACAACAATTCCTACCCCTCTTTTTAAGCACACATTTGGCATCTAGCTTTCTTTTCTTCATGGTTTTTTGGCCCTTCTTTCTTCATCCTTATTCCCATAGTAAATCTACTTATACAAATTAATTTTCAAGTCAGTCTGTCCTTTTAACATCTCCTAAGGCTTCAATTTTAGCTGTTTTTACTATTTCTCTTCTAAAATGCTCCTTCAAAGGGCTACTTTTCACTATAATAATACCTTCTCATATAAAACAAACATTTTGCTATAGAAGTTTTACTTTACCTTTAGCTTTGTGGGTTTAACCATAAAAAATTGTAAGAAAAAAGAAAGAAGGAGGTTATTAAAGTTATATTGATAAATGTTTTGTTAGATAGTCTCATCTTATTGTTTCCATAGGAAATTTTGAGATAAATGAAGTATGAAAGTTGCTCTCATCTGTGACTTTTCTGACACTCCTGATACAAGCTGAGAAACAAAACTGAAAACAACATCTTGGATTAATGGTAAGCTCTAGAAAAGAACTAGCAAAAAAAAGTGAAGGGTTGGGGTGAAATGGGCAAACCTGGGGGAACAGAGATGTCCTGGGGAGCAAGTACTCACCAGTGCACTTAACAATGCAGGAAACACGATAAAAACTAAAAATAAAAGGGTTTTTATTTTTACATAGGGAGGGAGAAAAGAAGAAAATTCTGTTGACCAACATGTGACCAGATGCAGTCTGTGCTGCCCATAGAGGGCATCACCTGGTCAGAGACCAGGGTGTAACTGGAAGAAGTACTCCACCTCTGGTTCCCATCAGCCCCCATTCAGGAAGTCAGGGAGTGAGCAGAAAGCTCCAACTTTTTCCATCAAGCTACCAGCATCACCCACAAGTCAGAGGTTGTTGACAAGGAAATTAGTTTGACATTATACATTACAATGTTCAGAACAGTAACAACCAAAATTGATAAGCAATATTGTATCAGAACATATCAGACCTACAAGAAGCTTCACATAATTTTTAGGACACTAACATTAATATTCATATATAGGCTACAGTGGAACATTTCTCTCAAGCAACAATGCTTCCCATTAAGTTTCTGATTTACTAGATGAATACCAAATATGTCAAATTTGTCTAATGTATGCCTCCTAAGGAAAGGGAGAAATTCTATGGAGTGTCTCAGGAGCTCTATTGAGGTATCACAATATTTCCTCTGATAAATCAAGCAAAAGACTACCATTTTTATTTCTAATTTTAAGTTTTGAAAATTTTTCATAAGTATTAAACACCATTTAATTACCCAACAGTGACATTTTTAAGATTCAGCTGCAGTGAGACTCCATCAATACAACACTAACAGAATGAGACCTTTCCCATCTTATAGCTCATTCCAAAATTAACAATTTAACAATTTTGTTAACAAAATTAACTATGTTAATTCTTTCAGTCCATAAGCATGCAATATCTTACATTGTGTCTTCTATTTCTTTTTTTTTTAATATTTATTTATTTGTTTATACAAGCACTGGGTACAGTCAGAAGCACGGGAGGGTGAGAGGATTCACCAGAGCCAGAGCAGGGAGCAGAGCAGGCAGAAGGACTGGAGTACACTGCTGAGGGGAGCAGCGGGCGGCAGGAGAGGTCTGTGTGCCATGTGGGACCCTCCTCCGGTGGCCGGGGAGCAGCCAGGGATCGAACCGGCGCTGCAGAGGCCGCGGGCAGCCTCGCAACCCTGCACTCAACTGCTGCGCCACCAGGGAGGCCCTGTGTCTTCTATTTCTTTAGGTCTTTCGCCATCTTTGCAAAGTTTATTCCCAGGTATTTAATACTTATTGAAGCTATTGCAAATGAGATTGTTTTCTTCATTTCTTTCTCTTCTAGTTTTGCCTATAAGGATGCAATAGACTTTTATATATGATTTTATAAGCCTTCTACTTTACTATACTGGTTTGTTGCTTCGAATAGTTTTTTAGTGGAATTTTTAGAGTTTTCTTTGTATAATTATGTCATCTACATAGATTTATATCTTCTTTTACAATTTGGATTCATTTTACATCTTTCTCTTGCCAGATTGCTCTAGCCAGTACTTTCAATACTATGTTGAACAATAGTCTTGAGAGTAGACATCCGTGTCATGTACCTGATGTTAGAGGGAAAGTTTTAAGTTTCTCACCACTGAGTTTGACTCTAGGCACATGTGTTTCCTTATTTGCTCTTTTGTTTGTTTCTCTTCTTAGTTTATTTTGGTATGAGATGGGGACAGGAGGAAATTCTGGGGCTTAAATACCTCCACCTCCTCTCCTCTTACTCCACAGCAAGCTCCATTTGGTGCTTCAGTTGTCCTCACTTCCCATCCTGCCTCCATGATGCTCCTTTCTGCCATGGGTCTTTATTTATGAAGTTTGAGCCTCCTGGTGAGGGAACTTCAAAATTTTCCTTTGAGCTAACACTAATTTTTTTATTTAAATATTTTGTTTTATATAATTCTTACATCTTTTTTCATCTTTGCACAATGTATGCGTTTTCATTTTGGTTATATTCCCCATACAGTAGCACCCCCCCCCCTTATTTTCACACTAGTCCTTCCTTTCCCCACACCTCTCCCCCCCCCACCCCCACCGTAGTGTGTCTCTGGTTTATAGTTGCTTGCTGATTTTGATTTTTACTTTGTATTGATTAGTCTTTTTCCTGGTCTCTTATTTAGGTTTTCTAAATAAATTCCTGCTATGAGTGAGACCATCCGGTATTTTTCTTTTACTTTCTGGCTTATTTCACTGAGCATGATCCCTTCCAGCTCCATCCATGTTGCTGCAAATTGCATGTGTTTATCTTTTTTGATTGCTGAGTAATATTCCATGGTGTATATGTACCACATCTTCTTGATCCAGTCATCTATTTTTGGGCATTTGGGTTGCTTCCATAGCTTAGCTATTGTAAACAGTGCTGCTATAAACATAGGGGTGCAGGTGCCCTTTGGAATTACTGTTTCTGTGTCATTTGGGTGAATACCTAGGAGTGGAATTGCTGGATCATATGGAAGCTCTATGTTTAGTAGTTCAAGAAATCTCCACACAGCTCTCCATAGTGGTTGGACCAGTTTGCACTCCTACCAGCAGTGCAGGAGAGTTCCTTTTTCTCTACAACCTCGCCAACATTTGTCGTTGCTAGTTTTTTTAACATGTGCCATTCTCACTGGTGTGAGATGGTATCTCATTGAATTTTTGATTTACATTTCCCTGCAAACACTAATTTTTTATAATTGTTTTGGGGGGAAGGTAAATCTGGTCTCTCAATTCTGCCATGATGTGGATGGAGTCTATATTTTGTTTTTTCAAATCAGCCTCCTAACATTTGTCTTTTAACTGATGACTTATGTACTTTTACAGTTGATATTTGAATAACATGGCTTTGAAATAAGTGGGTTCATAGCTGTAGATCTTTTTAAAACAAATGTTTTGGAACTGTTTTTTGAAATTTGTGACAATTAAAAAACCTCAAATCACATAGCCTAGAAATATTGAAAAAATAAGAAAAAGGTAAGTATTCATGAACGCCTTATAGATATATACACACATATATGCAATAGTCTATGTTATCACTTACAACCATAAAATATACACAAAAATTTTATACAAAGTTAAATTTTACCCAGATGAGCAGACTATACATGGTGCCATTTGCAGTTGAGAGAAATGAAAACAAATGTAAAGGTGCAGTATTAATTCATAATTGCATAAAATTTCTGCAGTACATACTATACTATTGTAGTAATTTCATAGTCACCTTGTTGCCATGTGGTGATCTCAAGTGATGTGAGTAGCCACTTGAAATACCACCTGATTCTAGTCATCTGTGGTGAGCAGTTAAGCTCTCCAGTAAATTGCTTATTGTAATAGAAAGTGATCTCTCACAGTTATTGCGTAATTTTCATCTTGTTTGGTGCAATACTGACAACACTGATTAACACCCTGGGGGCCCATATAAAGTACCACTCATTATGCTGGAAGGACCCCCAAGAAGCAGAGAAAAGTCATGATATTATGTGAAGAAGTTGAGTTGCTTGATTATCTATCCCATTTTGACAATATTGATGTAGGTAATGACAGACAGAGGATTCATCTTCTATATAGTTGATGTAAACTTACGGTAGTGTTAATGTAGTGCTATAAATGTATTTTTACATTCTGATGATTTTCTTAACAATTTCTTTCTTGTATCTTTATTATAAGAATACAGTATATGATACATGTGACATACAAAATGTGTGTCAATTGAATATTTATTTAATTGGTAAGACACCCCTAACTTCTACATTGTTCAAGGGTCAACGGTATATGTACTATAATTTTGACTGCTTCCCCTGGTACGCAGGGCGATCCTTATTCATGTTTGTAATCCAGTTTGAGGTCCCTCATAAACATTCATTCATCATGAATTGAATGAATTTTTGAATGTCTGTGAACATCAAATCAATTCATATCTATTTGTCAAGGTCTAGGGCTAGGGCTGATTCTGCTGATTCGTCTGGAAAGATTCCTTCCCTTTTAAACCACAGTAACCCTTCTCATTAGTGCCTATTCACTTTGTATCCACTACATTTTTATAAGGCAGTTTGAACTTGTGACATTGTGACTTATAATAAACATATATTTAGTCTATATCCCCTTTTATGGCAGAGCCTTAAGACCTTTGGAATTTTCTAAGTGGTAAGAGTGATAAAGATGTCTTAATATTTATAAAAATCCTTTTCAATCACAGCTGAGTTTATGTTAATGAGGTGACATCTGGAAAGCACCTAAGGTTGGGACTGGTTGCTAGGGGAACCAACCAAGTGATTAAGGCATTGGAACTTTCAGTCTCCTTGCCAGCCACTACAAAACTCCAGTGTTTGTGTTAGCATGACCTTATTTATTACCAAGGTTGGTGAGGGCTGGGTGACACTGGATTACACATAGATGTCTTTTCTCATAAGAGATATATGAGCTCATTCTGAAGTGGAACTGTCTTAATGACTTGTGTATTCCTCAGAGGACAGAGCTTTGCAATGCAGTGAAGGAAATTTTCAGTCTCCACTTTAATGCCCTTTCCAAAATACCCTCATGTCAACTTCTTTTTTTTTTTTTTTTTGGTTGGTTTTTTGTTTTTGTTTTTGTTTTGTTTTTGTTTTTGTTTTTTTTTATTAAATAATAAATTTTATTTTTATATTCCCCCATACAACTGCACATGCCCCATTCTGACCCCAATCCCTCCCCTCCCGGCCCCCACCCCCCAAAAAGTGTCTCTGGTTCATAGTTTTTTGTTGATTTTGATTTTCACTTTCTTATAGCTATTCTTTTTCCTGATCCCTTATTTAAGTTTTCTAGATTCCTGCTATGAGTGAGACCATCCGGTATTTTTCTTTTTCTTTCTGGCTTATTTCGCTGAGCATGATCCCTTCCAGCGCCATCCATGTTGCTGCAAATTGCATGTGTTTATCTTTTTTGAATGCTGAGTAATATTCCATGGTATATATGTACCACATCTTCTTGATCCAGTCATCTATTTTTGGGCATTTGGGCTGTTTCCAAAGCTTAGCTATTGTAAATAGTGCTGCTATAAACATAGGGGTGCAGGTGTTCTTTGGAATGGATGTTTCTGTGTCCTTTGGGTAAATACCTAGGAGTGGAATTGCTGGATCATATGGAAGCTCTATGTTTAGTAGGTCCAGAAATCTCCACACAGCTCTCCATAGTGGTTGGACCAGTTTGCATTCCCAACAACAGTGCAGAAGAGTTCCTTTTTCTCCACACCCTCGCCAACATTTGTTGTTGCTAGTTTTTTTAATATGTGCCATTCTCACTGGTGTAAGATGGTATCTCATGGTAGTTTTGATTTGCATTTCCCTGATGACAAGTGATGTTGAACATTTTTTCATATGTCTGTTGGCCATTTGCATTTCCTCTTCAGAGAAGTTTCTTTTCAGCTCTTCTGCCCATTTTTTGACTGGAGTATTTTTTTTTTTTTAAAGAGTTATTTATTTATTTGTTTGTTTATTTATACAAGCACTGGGTACAGTGAGAAGCACAGGAGGGTGAGAGAATTCACCAGAGCCAGAGCAGGGAACAGAACAGGCAGACTGATGAAATACACTGCTGAGGGGAGCAGCGGGCGGCAGGAGAGGTCTGCGCGCCATGTGGGACCCTCCTCCGGTGGCCGGGGAGCAGCCGGGGATCGAACCGGCGCTGCAGAGGCTGCAGGCAGCTTCGCAACCCAGCGCTCAACCACTGCGCCACTGGGGAGGCCCTGGAGTATTTTTTTGTTGTTGTTGAGTTTCATCAGCTCTTTGCAGATTTTTGTGATCAGTCCTTTATCATTAGTGTTGGGTGCAAAAATGTTCTCCCAGTTGGTGGGGTTTCTCTTTGTTTTTGTTATTGTCTCTTTTGCTGCGCAGAAGCTCTTTAATTTG